TTAACTAAGAGTAAAGTAAAAATTTTAAATAAAAAAATGAGTTTAATTAAAAAGAAAAAATTACAAATACAACAAAAATGAAAAATAAATCAAATTAAAAGCTAATAAACAAATTAAAATAGTGGTATTGTTTTAAACTCATTTTTATAACTAAAAATATTGTAATCCAGAACTAATAAACTTCTTTTACTAAAGATTAATTTCCAAATTTAAGAGATTAGTGCAATTTGCTAAAGCAGAACCTAAGTATGAAGCACCAATTGAATCAATTTCATTGCCCCTTTTTAAATATTTAATAAAAATATAATAAATTAGTAAATTACTTAGTTCGAAGGAAAAAATGAAGAAATAATAAGAAATTAATTAATAATAAAAGCAAAAAGTTTAAATAAAAAAATTTATTTAAATTAAGAAAATTGTGTAAAAATAGTTTTTGTTATTTTTGAAAATTATCAACAAATTCAAAGCTTTCTTAGTTATTGAGCAGATGCTTTTCAAAAATTTTATTAAAAAAGAAAAAGAAAAGTAAATCAAATAAAAAGCTAATTAAATTCATTCATTTTAAAACTAAAAATATCATATTCCAAAACAAATAAACTGTTTTTACATAAGATCAAGTGTTAAATTTGAGAGATTAGTGCAATTTGATAAAGCAGAACTTAAGTCTGATGTACCTTCATTACCAATTTAATTCCAACTTTTTAAATATTGAAATTATAAATAAGTACTTAGTTATTTAGAAGGAAAAAATGATGAAAAAATATGAAATAATAAAAAACGAATAAAGTAAGAGAAAAATGTGAAAATAAAAATAGAGTTAAATTAAGAAGGATAAAAAGAATGCAAGTAGAATAAAAAATAAAATAAAAAGCTAATTAACAAAATAAAATAAAATAATATATTGTTTTAAATCATTAAAAGTATCGCACTCCAAAACAAATAAACTGTCTATATCAAGAAAATGCGTTAGATGGAAAAAATGAATAAAAAATATTAAATAATAAAAATTGGTTAAAGAATATTAAAAATTGAAAGTTAAAGTTAAAATAACTGAAATAATATTTGAATAAAAAAAATTAAGAATCAAAATAGTTGAGAATTTCTATTAGAAAAATTATATCATAATAAATTAAAAATTAAATATATTGAAGTTAGTAATAATAATATTTATAAATCAATATACTTCTGATAAATATGGAGAGTCTCATGAGATTAGAGTGAAGAATTTAAAAACTTTTTATATTAATAAAAATAAATTTAAATTATATTGATAA